ATTTATTTGAAATGTCGCTTGACGTCACTTCTATGTAAATTTTATACGTAGAAATGACGTTTTAGTTCCCACTCCTAAACTTTGATTCGTTATATCTAAGTATTGTTTTATTATACGACAAAATAAAAAAATACGTGTCCAATATTTTTTCATTACCAAACTTACGGACTAATTAGATTTTTAATTTTCATACCCTGTCATCATCCCAATTCTCCTACATATATATACATATATTGTGGAATTTCGTTATCCAGTTATCAGATCTGCACCTACCTGTCCATTCTAACCTCATTGTCCTTAACAAGATTTTACCAACGAACGATACCTAATGGATTTAGTACTCATACGTCATACCACAGAAGTTCACACGTAGATAAACAACAAATCATCCATTAAATTCCCAATTATCTACCAAAGAAATAAAAAGTACCTAAGTAGGGAAGTACTTATTCCTTACCTATGCCTCATTTCATCTTATAAGAACATCTTTCATTCGAATAATTCCAGTCTCATTTAATTCTAAGTACAAGTTGGTACTTATCGAAATACTTCGCAATTCTTATCTCCGGGATTTTTTCATCTTATTTCCGACTCGATGCTACGTACCTACCTAAGTACTGGCCATTTCTCATTATCTTTTTTAAGTAATGAATGTTGAGATAAATATATTCTTAGATTAATGCTTTAGACAATAGTACCTACTATTTAATTTATTCAATAAACTGAACCTACTGCCTCGTTGGCCGAGTGGTCGCAAGGACGACTGCCGGACTGTCGGACAAAGTATTACTGGGTTTTTTTTAATTCTCAGTAGTAGCACGGAGTCTGGATTTGTGCCCGGTATATGGCAATAGACTCACCCTCTATTACATGGGACCCATAAGTCATAACATATATAGTGAAAAGTGGGTGTTACATTATAAAGTGGCATAAAGTGCACCTCTGCCTTCGGGGATAAAAGGGCGTGATGTTTTGTAAACTGTATCTACATAGAAGGTGTTCCATATTTCAACTATTTAAGAAAATCGTTATTATATATCTAAGTGCGATGTCTACGCAAATTAGCTACCTACAGACCAAATAAAAGTTTAGCCTACCCAGTAACTCCAGTAAGAAGCTAAAAGCTTGAGCTTGACATTTACACGTTTAACCACTTAACCAGTGAAAATAGATAATTTATTCTTTTACAATATTGCCTACAGTCTCAACTAGGCAAGTTTCGTAAGCACCTTATCAATCAATTCCCTGTATAAAACTTAAGTACCATTTTACCCTTCAAAAACACCGATAAAATAGACTACCAAATTACGGGACCAGTACCTACCTATTGCCCTAATTGAGTCAAACGAATTAGGTACCAATCTTAATTGCATAAAGACTTAAGTAGCGTCCAACGATATTGTTCAATGGACCGGGAAACGATACGAATCGATACGGGGAACTAAATACACCCTTAGGTAATAGAATTATATCGGAATTGGCTTATATGGGATTTTGTATCGGTTTATTTCATTTTAATGATTGTAAAGAGTTTTATTGATAGTTTGGTAGTAGTAATCATAGGCCAAGGAGTTTGCAAGTAAACCTGTGAACCTCTTCTTCCTTTTGCTCTGGTCTTATACTCCGTCTGTTTAGGTAGTTAACTATTTGTAAACAAACCATAAAAAGAGTTCTTTATAGTTGACACTTCCATGATTCAAAATACTTCATAAGAAAATAAAATTGTTTCCATTTTTACGACAGTTTTCTCCATTAAACTGTCAAACACCAAGCGGTCACCGGTGACCGCGACCCATTGTTCTTTAATTGTGTCTATAAAACTGGTACTCGACGAGTTAAATTTTATGTTTCTGTTCCTTTTCACTTATTTCTTAGTAAATATTATATATATCTGCTTGAGCATAATAATTTAATAACATTTATTAAATAATATAAAATTTCATCACAATAGACACCATAAAGAGCCTAAAATCCCAGGTATCCAAAACCTTTCTTTATGAACGAAGCAATAAATAATGTTGTCAAATTAAAGAGTACAACTAAGATGTAGCGCGACAATGAAAGTAGCGTGTATTACGTTTAGTCGGTTAATCAAGCGCCATTGACAGCTCTCTCGTCGGTTGCGCTCGCGTTTCTATTTGGTTGAATTTATCTTGTTTCTTTGTTTTGTTATTAAGTATTTAAGTTTAGGTTATTCATCGTTTGTAATTAATGTGTTCAAATATATTGAAGAAACTTGGCCCAAAGACACATATCCGTACAAGAAAGAAATCCGTACATCAGATTCAGAATAGTTTCTATTTAAACATGATAATGAAATAGACCCATAGGCTAGGCTCTTGTACGATTTAGGCATTTGTACTTGTATGTGTGTGTATGACAAATGAACGATTTTAAAGTGAATTTAGTTAAAATTAAAACACGAGAAATATTTGAAGTAATAATAGGTTAAGTATCTCTGTGTCACGTGGTTTTCTTTGTTTACCTTTAGTTAATTACCTAAACAGATGGACTATAGGTTCTTTCTTTTTTTTTCTTTACTAGACTTCTTAGGCTCATAAGTACAGATCTAAATAGGTAGGTTGACCTAGTAGGCAGATATCGTCTTCTGTGTAGTGTGGCTTAACCCTGTACCTAGGTAGGTCGGTACTACTTTAAGCTTACAATAATTCTTAAAAATAGGTTCTAAGTTCTAAGCAGTTATTTTCTTCGCCTCTTATAATATCTTCTGATTCACTTCGTTGCGACCAAGACAGTTATTCAAGTCCCTGGGACCCGCCGGACCAGTGTTCCGGTGTTTTTATGATTGTATCTACTGCAGATCCTGGCTTACAGGAGTTGGAAGGCCGGGCTTGTTCCATTAAAAAAAATAGGCTCTAAGCAGAAAACGTCATGACCAATCACTACTTGTGTCACCGTGGGTACTCCACAGTCGTAAATTATGTAGGTACTAGAGGTAGATATATCAATCTTGTATACTAACATTTTTAAGAATTTCGTTTTCAATTTTGACTCCACAAACTAAAGAGTTAAGCAATAACATGAAAAAAAGGTTATGACGTCGCGACATGGCGTACAGCTGTCGCTGCCGATCTTGGGTGCTATCCAAATAGATAAAGTTTTCTCCTTGACACAGACGATTATGACTGTGATAGATGTTATTAGATTTATTTTCCATTTACGTAAAGCATTTGGATTAGAAAACATCTAAAGTATAGGAAATTATAGATCAAAAAACAAAAATCATATCTACTAAGTACCTAATAAGTGCTAAATATAAGTAGGTAGCTAATATGGACGAGTAGGTATAATCTAGGTACCTTCCCAGACGCCGAACACTCAATCATATTGGTAAAATTGATCAATTAATGCGTAGTTGCAGATTTATACTTTTGCTAAGCGTATGCAAAAGGCGCTCTAAATAAGACTCGGCGTTTATTATATGCGGACGCATTTTTAACCGAATTATAATGAAGTAAAGAAGGTACCTACTGCAATCTTCTCCGACCATATTCAACAAGGGACATAATTGAATTAGATTTTGAGCTCCTTCAACGCATTAATCACTTTAACGATATCATGGTCGGTTCTAACACTGACCTCTTAAAGCTACCTGTTTGATCCCCGAAATGAGTTTCCACAAGGCTAGGCAAGAGCTGAATAACTTTTCGACTTACCTAATTATGTGGGATTATTTAGTTATGAAACCGCGAACCTAAAATAATATTGGATATTTGAGCCTTCAAAAATATGCAGGTAACTAGGTAGATATTATCTGAATAGATATGAGATAAAATTATATCACTGACCTAAATCAAAATACTCAAACGCTACTCAATCTTAAGTCGCGCTTAAGTACGTTACCTTCAATAGTTCTGTCACTACAAATCCTTACTTAAATCGGAAAGTGAGTTTGTTTGTTTATTCTGCTTTCACGCCGTAACTACTAAACCGATTTCTTTGAAATTTTTCAGACGTAAAGTTAGAAGTCGGAAGTTAATAGGGTACTTCTTATCCCGGAAAATTTGATATTTCCGAGGGAAAACAAAAATATTGGTATAGATGGCGCTCTGTGTATTGTTATAGATGGCACTGTATGTCATTTAAAACCAGTCAACGAATTACCTAACGTACTTATTGGAAAAATCTAAATAGCGCGATATAACCGAATTCCATGCGAGCGGAAAGCTATTTGTTTGTTTGCCTGTCTTACAGCCAGTTTCAATAACCTATCTATCTGTACATTTGCTTACTAGAGATAGAATTTTGACACGTTTTGTATGGAGCTCATGTCAAAATTCTATCTTTAGTAAGCAAATCTACAGATAGATAGGTTATTGAAATTGGACGTTAAACGGCAGAACGGAGGTACTAATTAACATGATTTTTTAACTGAAGGTAGTTGAAGGGATGGATGGACAAAGGCTACTTTTTATTCTTTTGTGACGCGAGCGAAGCCGCGAGTAAAAGCTAGTCTTTATAAAACAAAAATTAATTTCCGTTCGTTAGTCCCGCTAAAACTCAAGAACGGCTGAACTGATTTGGCTAACTTTGGTCTTTAAATGTTCGCGCCTCGTGAACGACCAGGGAAGGTTTAAAAAGTGAGAAAAATTTTTTTAGACGGTACGAAATTTGCCTGCAGCTGTAGCCAAATGCCATTTAGCGCTTGTCTACATGTAGAACATAAAACCAATATGGAATTGACGTAAATCTTATCTTGACACTTGTCAGTGTCATCCCCATACATTTACATTCAACTCTCTCTGTAGACAAGTTTGGTGGTCAGCTAGTTCTTTATAAAATAACAGAGATGGCATGATATTTGAGTACAACTTAAAATTGACAAGCCTTTCAGTATTCGGGCGTAAGTTTAAAATGAAACATCAAAATAAAACAATCAGTGACACGATTTTAATATAACAAAACGTCACATAGACTGAAAATTTCATCTCCATAACAAAATTCTTTATTATACAACCATCGGTAATTGAATCACACTGTTACTTAACAATGAAAACTGGATAATCTTTTGTGTCACACAATTTTACATCACATATGCACTTAGTCAACCAATCTTTATACACGTGTCGCACATTTGACGGGACCTTTTTGGACAACTTCGCCATTTTTGACAATTCTATACTTTTATTATTGTGTAAGACATAATGTACGTCCATAGACTTGATGGCCTTGACGACTGTGCCTCCATAAGCAATCCAATGTCTCTCGTAATACCTTCTTTCTTCTTCTGGAAAACTGATGAAATCTGGGTAGAAACCTAGACGTTTACCTTCGAAAACGTCTGGTAAAGGATTTTCCGGTTTAAAGTCGAATTCCGTATCATTACCGTCTGCTTCATCTACGTCCATTTTTTCTTCTTTAATTTTTGTGTCTTTTGATTCAGATATAGAATTTGAAGGGCTTTTCGCTTCTGGAGATTTCGAGCGTTTTAAATTAGCTTTTGGCTTTTCGTCTTTCTTTGTAAAATAGTTTGCTATATTATTTTTTGGGCTAACTTTATTAGGTTTTGCAGGACTTCTTTCAGTCTTTATGGGGCTAGGTTTCATTTTCTTCGCTGGTGGTTCGTCTGAGGCAGCTGCCAGTTTGTTTAGGAGTGATACATCTGTCTTTTCTTTCGAAGACTTGTATAGATTCTTTAGTTCTTCCAAATTAGTTGCCGTTTTCCAATCTTTGTCAGCTCTTATCCTAGTTACTCTTGGGAATCTCACTGATATGCCATCTGCTGTATGTAGTTTTGCTTTCGTTAATTCCGTGCCTGGAAATTAAATTTTGTACGTATAATTAGTAGTTCTCATTACGTGTTACAAAATCTTTTTAATCCTTAATAACCTTTATTGAAGATAAAATGAGCAAAATACAAAATATTATCTTAATAAGCGATGTAGACCTTATACAGTTAAATGCTTGTACTAGGAAAGCCATGTATCACAGGCGAAAATAATAAATGTAATCGGTATAGTACAATATTAGACTTTAACATCTTATGAATAAAAACCAAGATGAGTTCCAATTCAGAAAATTGTTGTGTATTGTAATTTTGGTTCCGGTATTATAACCAACCCGAGGCAGTAGTAAGCAGTCAAATGAAATGTTCATCTTACTAATCCTTACTAATATTATAAATCGGAAAGTGAGTTTGTTTGTTTGTTCCGCTTTCACGCCGTAACTACTAAACCGATTGCTTTGAATTTTTACAAACGTAAAGTTAGAAGTCTGGATTAAATAATAGGGTACTTATTATCCCGGAAAAATTTGATATTCCCAAGGGAAAACAAAAATATTGGTATAGATGGCGCTGTGTGTATTGTTATATGTCACATAGGCTACTTTTTATCCTTTTGTAACGCGAGCGAAGCCGCGGGTAAAAGCTGTATGTATTATAAATGCGAGTTTGTGTGTATGTTTGTTACTCAATCACGCCAAAACGGCTGAAGGGATCGGATTGAAATTCAGAACAAGGATATATTATGGTCTGGAATAACACATAGGCTTTTTATCCCACGACAATGCCAGCGAAGCCGGCACAGAAGCTAGTTCAAAATCAAAAGTCATAAGTCAAAGTCAAAGTCAGAGTCAAAGTCAAAAGTCACAAGTCAAAATCATTTATTTCAATTAGACCAGGAAGGCACTTTTGAACGTCAACAACAAAAATTTTGAAGCTAGCTGCTCATTCCAAGGTGTTAGTAATAATTCAAAGTCAAAGTCAACGCCAAAGTCAAAGTCAGAATCAAAGTCAAAGTCAAAAGACACAAGTCAAAATCATTTATTTTATTTAGACCAGGAAGGCACTATTGAACGTCAACAACAAAAATTTTAAAGCTAGTTCCTCATTCCAAGGTGTTAGTAATAATTACAGAAATACACACCAGTTATCTCCCAAACGGGTTGTTTCTTAGGATCTGCGGCTACGAAATCGGGTACCATGCCGTTATTACAGTCCAACCACGAAGGTACTTTATTGTTATCCTGTGATATTTTCACCATTAAAGGCTCCAATTCTTTCTGTAGCCTCTCCAGTGTGCTGTCATCGTGTCCTGTATGTACCTTTGTGACTGTCACCCATTTATCTCGACGAACATCATGACAACCCATTAGGAAGACGGACATCATCCCGCCTTTTTTACCCGTTCCTGTAATTTAAAATAACATAATTTTATTAATTTTCTTTTAACAACAATATGAGAAAGTCCAGGAGGAGTATTTTAGACCAATATTTTATACATTCCCCCGCTCTGCTTGGCCCCTATTGATCGTACGTACATGATGTCTTATAGCATATAACTTTCTATGTAATATTGATAAATAAATGACACAAAGTCGCTATCCGCCGTCTGTCTGTGCCTATGTATGCTTAGATCTTTGAGAAACTACGCAACGGATTTTGATGCAGTTTTTTTTAATAGACAGAGCGATTCTTAAGGAGGATTTATACATATATATGTAATACATGCATATTGCACCCATGCGAAGCTGGGGCGGGTCGCTAATAATTATACAATTAGAACCAGTAGTTCCAGAGATTAGCGCGTTTAAACAAACAAAAGAACTCTTCTGCTTTATTATAATAAGTACTTACCTATAAGATTTCAAAATGTGCATCTATTTACCTATATGTTTGACGGTTTACTAATATCAGATTAGTAGGTATAGTAGTAGTAGGTAGGTATATTATTAGCTAATAATAACCTGGGAGAACCATACTAGTATAGCATAAAAGGAAATTCATTCATTATTGCTTCATGACTCATAGCTAGACAAAGTCATCACTACAAACAAGTTCAGTTGTGTTCATGTAGTATGAAACATGCACCAAGCCTTATCAATTCAAAACAAATCACACTTATCAACAAATACTTTCCTATAAGTATTGTTATCTATTTAACATTTTATTTACTGATTACTGGACTCTTTGTTATAGACTTATCGATAATAATCACAAAAATTCTTAACACATTAAACGCCTGAAGGTTCACTTTGGACCGGCTTTAGTTATCAGCACTTACCTTGAACAGAATTCTTTTTGTTCTGTTGACTACAAAATGCATACAAATCCAGAACTAACTATTCTTATTCTTTACTTTAAATTCACCAAAAAGTAATTGCAACTTTATAACAATTTCTATAAAGTACATTGTAACTGAACTTACCAAACCATGCCCCGAGAACCACTAAATCAGCAGTGTCAGCCATGGCTCCATCAAATAGGTAATCTTTCTTCACTTTCAACCAATGTCGCTTGCCAGGCTCGTATTTAGACTCCAAATCTTTGAGTACTAAACCTTCTAGGCCCAGTTCAAGAACCTGGAATTTAAAAAAAGGAGGTGTTAAATGTCAATCCAAAATAATATTGTGTTGCAGTTATCAAACGTTTGAGAAGAGACTTTATTGGGATTGGGATATTTTAAGTCAAAAGGATACATTTTGAATGCATGGTTAGAGACTCATACTGTGGTAAATAAGACAAACCACTTATTAAATGTAAAGTTTCTGGTTGAGCATGGAAATGCAATCAAAAGAGTAACTAACTATCATAGGTATAAGAATCATAACAACTAACTGTAATTTCTGTCTATCAAACGGTAATTTATGTATGTAACTTTTATGTTTCCCAACATTCCGTTTAGGAAATTACAAGCGTAATATTAGTCATAATAAGAATAATTTCATTGCATTACTTTGCTTAATATTAAAACAATGCATAATAAAAAACCATTTCCTTATGCAAAAACTGGTCGATTCATGTTCAGACATGTATTGGTAGGTACTTGTACTTTATAATGAGGACTTCATACTGCGCTTATAGATTACTGTTTTCCTGTCCAACTTGTTTGGAGGAAATTTTATATCGAAAATTGTTATTTCTATGCACACTTTTAAACATGTTTTTATTGTTACTTTTAGGATATTTTTTCTGTATGATTTAAATTTGACCGAGACTGGGCACAAACAGACACTGATAAATCTAAATCTTAAAAACTACAAATTCCAACCAATCTGGCAAGCATTGAGATTAAGGCAAACTGGAAAACCCTTGTAGAGGAGAGCCATACTCAAGTCACAGGTTATTGATGATGATTTTTTTTTTAAATAGACACATTTGCAATTAGCCCTAGGGCTACGAGCAAATGTTGATGCGGAGTGATTTCCCATTGGAAGCTCTACTCATCTGCTGCCTAGAGCAGTAGCTCTAGACAGGCAGTGGCCTGTCTTCTAGTTCTAGGATGTGGTGGCGTTTTAAATGTTTCACATACTGATCCATGGTGAGTTGGTGAGCAATGAAGAATTTCACAAAATAAATAATAGTTTCATTGAAATTATTTGTATAATGAAAAAGCTGCTGGAGAATCTTACCTCAGCAATCATTTTAGCTAAATCCGATGGCTTCTCAATCAACTTCTGTTCAGAAAACATAACATGGTTTTTCACTTCCACCATGTTCTCATGCAAAATCTGTCTCCTTTTTCTAATAGGCATATCAATTAAAACTTCACCGTTGTAGTACAAACAGTCAAATACATACAGACATACTTGCGCATCTTTGAATTCGGACTGCTTATGAATACCCAAAGTACCGAAGGGCAACGGTTTCCCTGTAGTAACATCTACCATTAGGACTTCGGCATCCAAGATTAAGTCCGTACCTTTAGGGAAAGCTTGCGGTAAATACTCTTTGAAATGATTGACTTTATGTGCCATAACGGGTTTTAAAGCTCTAGAGAAATATTTGAATTCCTTCCCTTTTTTATGCACTTGTACTCTTTCTCCATCATATTTGATTTCCGAGAACATTCCATTTGGACATTTTTTCATTGCCATTTCCACTGATTTGCAAGCTTCAGCCAACATCGGTAGTATAGGAGTCATGAGGGAAAGTGTTGCTCGAAAACTTGTTTGGATTGCATCTTTATGTTTTACAGTAGAACCTTCAGTTATAATCCTATCTAACACCATGTTGAGATCTCTTGATGTTTGAAAAGCACTGTAAGCGTCAGGATGAACTCCTTCCAATATATGCTTTGGCCCAGCATTTATTCGCAAATCTCCCTTTATTAATCTAATAAGCATTTTCAGGTCATCCGCAGTACATTTTTTTACAATCTTCTTGAAGTGGTATATTTGTTCTTCTTCTTTCGTTAATTTTGATAGGTCCTCTAAGAAATCTTCGACTTTTTGGATTGTGAGTGTGCTCTCTGAAGCAGGTTGGACTGTTTTTGATTTGTTAAAGAAATGTTGAATTGTGTCAGCAACATCTCCCTTCTCTAGATGAGTCAACATATCATCATGATCCGTGCCAAATACTCTTGAAAACAGTTTCACTAACTGCTTGCTTTTTAAATTGTAAACTCTTTTCGTAACTTGTGGTAGTAGTAGTTTACACCACAATGAGAGGTTCCCTTTAAACAATGTACCATCTGTGCCAATTCTGAAGAAATCATTGACTACTGCAGTTTTTTCAGTATAAGCATCAACCCTAGCGATTCTTTTGCATAATTTGAAGAATGTTAGAAACTTATCATCGTCAGTATCCACCTTCTCCTTTTTAGGGCTCACTGTGTCACCATTGCTCGGCGATGCCGTAGGACTAGGTTTAACAGTTGGTGTAGAAATATTTTTGATAACTTTAGCTGTATATTTTCCACTGTTTTTGTCAGCATACAATTTTTCCATGTCATTTAGTTTTTTCAATATTAATTCTTGGTCTTCCTTACTAATGTTATCCCAATTGCCAATGTCATCTATTGAATCTACTCGTTTGGTTGCTGGTCTCTGCTTTAGTAACACATTCATGAAGCAATCCACATGGTGCCATGATTTCATCTGCTGACCATCTCCATATGGGCTGGCAACTAATTTTGCAATTCGTAATTCACCACTAGGACAGTTCGTCTTACACCCTTTACACGAAGCTCGTCCTCCTTTCGCTCGATCAACGAAAAACGGCGTGGATTCGCCCATAGTTAAATATAAGTACACTTGATTTTAAAACATGTATTTAAAATAATATCGAAACTATTATAAGTAAACACGTTGCACGGTTGTTACGAAACCATATGTGTAACTTATTCAGCAAACACGGTCTATTTTACTCAGATCTAAATAAATATTGGCTTATAATTTATAAACCAAAACAATATATGAAACTGTGAAACTAAAAATGTCATTGTCAAATTTAATGACAGTTTGACAGGTTTAGAGACGTGTAGAAGTACCACGTTTGAGTCATAATCGAGATTTTCGGTAACCGAATAATCAACTTGTAGATTTTTATGCACTTCACCACAAATGTGTCGTATTTTCGTTAAACATATTTTTTTTTTGTAATAAGTTCGTGTATTTTTATAAAATACATCGGATAACGTGTGTTGTATTTCACTACAACTTGATCACGGCTACGCAGTACAATAATCGAGTGAACGTATAATCACTCTCAGGGTTTCCTCTATTGACGTTTCGTTCTACGCATGCGTCGGTTTTCGAGGCTCGACTGAATTATATTGCGCGCCGCGCAGTGTGTTTCAACACAATTAATATTTAAAACTTTATACCCGTTCAGAGTAATGTAACTCTATACGCTTCTCGATAAAATATTACTTTGAATAATTTTATAGGGCCTATCCTTAAATAAATTGATTTTAAAAACAGTAATAGTAGAAATTCCATTTTCACTATACGAATTGTTTGTTTCAAGTCAAAAGCAACTATTAAGTTCTATTTTTTCTTCTTTACAGCTTCATCATGTCATCAAGAATTCAGCAGCGACGGCACAAAACACGGCACATTAACTTCACCGCACTACCCATCACCATATCCTCCGAACACTCATTGCCACTACGAATTTTTCGGGAGGGGCAAAGAGCGAGTTAGATTAATATTTCAAGATTTCTACTTATACAAATCTGCTGATGGATCTATTGAGTAAGTATTACATATCTAATATCTTTATGAGTAAAAAAAAACATACAGCCGAATTGATAATCACCTACTTTTTCGGAAGTCGGTTTTTTTTCATATAAAGTAAGCTTTCTATACATAAATCTATACAAATATCAATTTGTATTTAATTGATAGTAGTTTGATAACTATCAATTAAATACAGTTCATGATTGTATACCTCAGTGATTAAACTCAAATATGTAGCCATTTTCCAGTGAAGATGAGTTTGGTTTAGCGGAAGATTTTACGCGGTTTCTTTATTGGGTACCTGTTATCATATTTTACCTACTTAACTACCAACGTTACTTTACTTTGAGGAATTGTAATAGCATCTGTAGTGTATAAGTCATGTTATACTTGATTCGATTAAATTATCGTGTCCATAGTGTGTATGTCACATTTAGTAAATACACAAATTTAATATGATTTGTATGCAATTACAGCTGTACAAGCGTGGATTCGTTACAAGCTTTCGTCAACGTGGACGGGCGGTTAGAAAAGGTAGAGACGTTCTGTGGAATCGACCTCCCGAAGCCTATTATGTCGAATGGACCGAAACTAATGCTGGAATTCCGTGGAACGCAGTCATCAAGATACTCGAGAGGATTCAAAATATCATATTCATTTGTAGAAAGTAAGTATACAGTGGCATTTCATAGACTTATCGATTTACTAGTTTTAAAGTTCGTGAAAAAAATACTGGATTCGTCACTTAATTTAATAAATAAAAACTATTTATTAAACCATTCCATGTTTAAATTACACCTTTATGATGTGTATTGACATTATAGACCATTATATTGTACAATTAATGGAATAACAATCGTTATTTTTCAGATTTCGGAATAAACACAGGGAGGCAGTTGAAGGAGTTTCCATGTGCGTTCGTATATAATAGTAGTGAGGCGCACAATGGTACATTTGCGTCCCCAAACTCGCCGGGACCATATCCAAGGGATACAGAATGTACATACTTCTTTCACGGTGGCGAGACTGAGAAAGTGCATCTGCATTTCACGAATTTTGACGTTGAAGGAGTTTTACCGTAAGAGTCCTTGATAATTTTCGCATGCTTGCATTCTTCATCTACTCTAACATATAATAAGCAATAAACCTATAATAACAAATAGTAAAAGGTGCAAGTTGGAATGCGATAGTTTTTAGCTAGTAAAAGTCTGACACTCCCTCCTGCATCACCCAAGGCTATTTTTAGAAGAAATATAGTATATCTGATTTTAAAGGAGGTAAATAAAGAATACAGACTTACAAAAAAAGAGTATCATTTCTTTTTTTACTTTTAAAAAGGTACTTTTAGCAGTACATAACAATTTTTTTTAAGATTCCATTTTACTAAGTTTGCCTATAGCGCGATAGGTAGGTTATTGTACTATACTAAATATCATTCGATTCGTAAGTTTTTATAAGAAATTGATATTGTCATTGTGTCAAAAATTGAAATATCGAATTAGTTTTAAAAACAATTGTATGAAATTTCGACTAAAGTTTTTTTAAAACGATCATTGATGATGCTCTCAGGCTGAAAGTATCGTTGGACCACTATAAACGGGCAGCCTTGTATTAAATTAAATATATTTTTTATTTTGATCATGGGTTTTTACATATTATTACAGACTAGTTAAGTAAATATTGTGTAAAAAAGAGTATTTTAGCGTACTCTATTAATGACACAGATTATAGAGTACACCTACGTGATATAGAGGACTATACTCTATTTGAGAGTACGGTTGGTAACCCGCCCAGGGCGGAAGGAGTAATTTGATAATTATTCATTAGTACAAAAATGTGTTACAGTTTCTATAGTACATCCATTTTATATTTTATATCAAGGTGCAGCCACTTGGTGCTACTGTTAAGATATCACTAATAGTTAAACTCAAACTAGAATCCCAGAAATTTGCATGCAATTTGAAATGTTAGGTATTTGGTTGGACATGTCAGGTATTTTCATCTATGTAAACTCAGGTATTCCATATTAGTGTCCCATAGGGGAATGCAGATACTAATAACATTCATGCATTTGGACAATTCATCAATCTTTAATGTTTTGATTGACGTACTATCATTTGTCACATTAATCTAATGACTTTTAATTGTTTTGTTTCAGATGCCAAGCAGTGTCGGCGAGTGATTATGTCGAATTTTCAAACTATATGACTGAAGACAATAGATTCGGTAGATATTGTGGACAAATGAAAGAGTTCCACGTAGAGTCTGAGAGGAATTTCTTCAAAGTAACTTTTAGGTCGAACGACCGATTAGATGGTACAGGTTTTAAGGCAATCTATCAGTTTTTAGAAGCTACTGATGAATACCGAGCTCCACCTGTACAGGATAAGGCTTCACATTCTTTATGTAAGTAGTTTGAGCTCACAAATACTTACGGGAATAACAAAGAAATTACTACGTCGAAACAAACATTGCTTGAATATAATTTACAATCCATCTTTTGGTATAAAACTTATGTTGAAGTTATGTTGATTGTCCAACTCAGCCATGAGTTTATTTTAGTCATAACAGCAATGGCTAAATTGTATACATTTAAATTACTACTTTGATTAAAATGTATGATAATAATTTGACGTTTCTCTTTTTCAGGTATATTTGACCATTTTCTAATGCTGCTCATCCTCGCAATACCACAGCTGTATCATCAACTATATCATTAAATAAAGTGATATTAGATTAAATATTATTAAATAAAAATAGTTTATAATCCTGTATATTTTGTATAATAGTATGTGCCATACACCTGTAATTACGTAGATATGCAATATTTTCTATAAAATCGCGTCTTATGTTTTCTTCTATTGTCTACCAACTTAAAGCAATACCGTACGAAACACAATAAAGATTTATTCATAATGGCACGTCGTAAAACGAAATAAATGATTTGAATTAATTGTATTTTTATTGAATTTACAACTTTATGGAACTAGAATTTGTAAATTACTGAGATCAACAGTGACAGTGACACTCAGTCTAGTCACCTGATTCTAGTCAACAAGCATTGTCTTGTCGTAGAATCGTCTAAGAAGTCTTGACTTGAGACTTGTTGACTTGAGAAGTCAACAAAATAATGTATACATAGCATTAATAGGCACATTTAAATGAGTAGGTGAAATATTAGCAATTACGTCTGCACCGTACGGACACCTCGGGTTCGATTCCTGGTGTCTCAAATACAGTAATGAACACAACCGTGTTTATGTCTTACAGTATTAGGTCAATTTATAATATAAAATACACGAAAATATACCGATACTTAGAATAGGTGTATGCTCTCAAATCAATGTAATGCTAATGTCAAATTACGTTATAAAACATAGGTAAATTATATTTGATCTCAAGATCAACGATACCATTTTTGACCAACATTTATTGAATGCATAAATTAATGTCAATATTAAGCAAGACAGCTTAATAAATATGTTAAATTACAAATTTGAATTAACTACGTCAAGATCTCACTAACATCATAAATTGCTGACCGTAGTAGGCGGTTTTAGTTACTTGACAGCTTTTGAAATACGCGATTGAACAATTCCGTGTTTAGGAGTCGATTTGAGGATTTGTTAGTAAATAGCTATTAGAATTAGCACGTCAATTGCTCAGTTTCAAACTATTTTATAGTAAGTACCAATAAACAACAACAAGACAAACTTGCATAAGAACATTAATGTTAAAAATGTTAATAACTGTTTCCTATCCCTGTATCACAAAAGTAACTTAATAAAATTGTTGCGTACAACATAATATACGTAGCCATAAATATCTAGGTATACTAAACCGAACACCACAACAATAACAAATTGGCTGCTCAAAGTTATGGTATTCACAATAGTATTCATTACACGGATTGTCAAACAGACATTAGTGAATGTTACTCTAACCAGTCTTCGCTAGAACGAAGAATTTCAATTAACTAGGTATTGTGGTGCATAATTTCTCGAAGACAGTTTCTTCCTGCCTACACCCGATCTACCGCTAGTTACATAATCGAGAAAATGAATCTGCGTGCAGTAAGGATCAAAATGAATTGCATTTTAACACCATAATCTATCTTGGTAGCTCAATTTTTATAAAGGAGAAGTCATACAGTATTGTGTCATTTCGGTAGTGACCGTATTAAATAATACTTAGACCGTAAAAATAATATTTAATGACAATAACTTTTTTCATAAACAGGTAGATACGCCGAATTATTTTTTCTATAACACTTCCTAAGAAAGTTATTCTCATCGTATTTAATTGTAGAACTATAGTTTTAAATTATTAAAATTTGTTATTGAAATACGGAACTCAAATAAGCTCGATTTAAGGTGGATGGATGATGATCTCAAATGCCATTTTGTCGCTAGATGGCGTAACTTCCACAATTTGGAACATTTTCACGTTTTACGCCTAACTTCGAAATCTTTAATAGATAACTTTATTGTTCGCGAAACCTAGGGCATTAACTTGATTTTTTAGATAGTCGTTGTGCTTGTTATCTGGTCTCATACAAAGATTACTACAAAATAAAGATTTAGCCGCTTCACTTTACTGTTTACACACACATGCAAAGTAAATAGTAGTAACTTTCGACACCACCAGATGTCGTTATACTATAAAAATATTAATTTACATACTTGAAATTATGTTCCCATCTATTTCTTATTAGTATAATAATTGGTCTAAGTATACTTTTGTTTCTAGACTCGATATCTAGCAAATTATTCATAAAATTTATTTTAGGTAAAATAGGTACCTACACTGTACACTATATACTATACCCCTAGACCCTACACCTGTCGCGGAGAACCTAACGGGTTACCGGGGCTCCGGCTCGACGTGCAGGAGAAGGAACGGGGTGGTTTTTAGTCAGTAAGAGTCTGACACTCCCTTCTGCCTCACCCAGGCGGGAGCAGTCATTCGATGATTTTCCCCCCTTAAAAAAAAAAAAGACCCTACACCTAAAAAATTGTTGTAATGTGACTGAACCTAAATTGTAATGTGTAAATAGTGACTTTACTAATAAATAAATGAAAGACTATATTCCATTGTAAAGCTTTTTATTGTACCTTACTATAAATTAATAATATTTATTTAGTAAAACTAAGTTAACATTTTCATAAAATAATCGTTTTATTTACTCTCACTACATTTACTTAGATAGTTTCCATCTGGATTCAAACCATGGAGTCATACCACCATACAAAGATAACATAATTTTTTAATTGTTTTGATATTTACTTAGTTTTATAATTTTAAATTTAGTATTATAAAGAATTATTATGTATGTAGATCACAATATAAATAACATCATAAGTATATAAACGGCACATGTAAGTTTGCAAGTATCTTACATTTATTTATTTCAATTAATTAGTATAACATTACAGTCATAAAACCAACAACAAGTGGTTGCTAGCTAACCATAACATTTATTTATGTTTCAAGAATACATTTATTTACAATTTTGAACTTAAATATTGTTTTACAATTGAATTGTTAGGCTGGTACCTAAATGCATGAGGCAAACTTATCTACACAGAAAAATCTTATGGACTAACAAAATAACACCAACTATACATAGCTACGTGCAAAAATAGCTTATTAATTATTCTATAATGTTCACACTGCTGAGAATCAGGCTACACAAAGCAAAGTGCCGGCTTGGATTCGAACAATCAACTCGTACCACCATACAAAGATTCTTATATATTATAATAAAATGTCTTCTTTTTGCAGTCACCGCCGCCACCGCCGCGCCATATCAGTCTTCTGTTTATCGCTTTTTACTTCCATTTATAATTTCCGTGCAATCTGAATCAAATGCTGGAAGACGCAGTTTTCGCTGCAACAAATGAATTTACACAGTTTTGTTAGACTATTCTTACTGAACCCACACCTCAGAGCCCTGAGAAATAAGTTAGGAAATGAATAAGACTTATATTTTTATACCTTTTAATTCCTTGATGTCCAGACATTTAGCATTTTTCTCAACTCTTCTCAAAATAATTTCTGGCAGTACACATCTTTTAAAAACTGTCACCAACTTCGGCATCATAGTACTGATAAATTCCTCATTCTGGTTAACTTCTATGACAGTCAATGGTTGGGTGACTGATATATAGCAAATGAAGTAACATTTATTCATTTTGGTAATTCGCAATTGACCCTGGACCTAGAATCAAAATAATAATAGCTGTTAAAAAGAAACAATCCAAGAAATACATTATTTTTATACATACATACCAAGAAATAATGATATTTGATAATAATGAAATAATAATAATGATATTTGATAATAATGATATACTTACTTGATAATAGTAATTATGCTTTTTGTTCATAACTAAAACATCATTTTCCAAATGAATAGGAAAATTTCTATTTTCTGATGCTTATCGAATATTTTGAATATCTGTAAAAAAGAAAAGTTTTTAGGCTTACGCTACTGAACCCTATTTAAAATATTCACGCGACAAAAACTAGTTATTTGTATATTTTTATTATCGAATAATTTTACCATCAGGGCTAGCTACTAAGAATCCAAATTCTTCATTAATGAAAAGTCCTGATGGCCTGACTATTTGCCATATTATTGCATAAACATGCTCTATGCAACATGTTCATTTTGTTTTCCATACATCATATCTTTAGTACAAATATTATTTTTATAGAGAATGCATTTCACATGATTGTGACATGGTGTGGCATTGGTTGGAGTGTAGCAAAGGGTGTGCAAGGAGTTTAGGACTTTTAATTATTTTTTCATCAAAAATGATAATTCTTATAAGTGGCTCGGTTTTTCATTTCTATCGTTTAGTATACCTAAAAATAAGATGACTATTATCTAGGCACTTTTTATCTAGATAAAAGGCTTCAGGTTCGCCTGAAATTGAGCCCTAAAGGTCAGTTGGGGGAGTATGTAAAACACTTTTTGGGCACCCCAACACATTTGGTTAGGTTAGGTTAGAACTGTGACCCTCATAAGGCCTAGATAAAAGGTGTCCAAATGATTTTCGCTTTATTATTAGGTATACTAATCAGTGAAAATGAAAAACTAGCCATTTATAAGAATTTTCATTCTTGATGAAAATGAAAAATAAAGTCCTAAACTCCTTGCACACCCTTTGCTACGCTCTGACCGTGGCATACGACGTTTGCATACCTAAAATGAACAAAGTGACAATCATTATTCTGCAATTTGTTAAAACTTTCTCAATACATAATAGGTACTAACCTTATCGAGCATAACGACCTTTTCTAGAACATAAACCAATGAGTATCAAATAAACTTCACTCACGTAAATCTGATTTGAAATCCTATAGTAATCTGATTTCTTCACTATAGATCACTAAAAGAACTTTCATGATGTCTTATGAATGCGGCTTGCACCTTTTTCCTTGAATTTTGCGGCCCTGAATACATAGTATGTCGTATACACGCAAGTTTATTAGTCGGGTTCATTTTAGGCAGTTCAGTTGCAATTCAATCTCAACATCAAATGTATCTTATTTATGAAATGTTTCAAGAAATTTGTAATAGCAGATCTAATCTAACACCACCATCAAGTTGTCAAGTGCAGTCAAGTTCTATTAAGCAGTGTTGCCAATTGCCAACACGACTAATACAAAATCTGGGAGACTGCTACTGAATTAAAATGTCAAAATTATTCTAAATACTATAAAACTATGCTAAAATACTGTGCTAACATTCTTCAGTGTGAAATAAAACATCTTTTAATTTGAATCTTTAATAATCAAGAAAATTCGAGTAAGGAGCATTAAGAAACATTATAATACAAGTATCCGTACTTGTTGTTATATGTACTAGTGTTTATTAATATATTTTTTTAAAAGTAATAATAAACATGGTAAATATCCCGTTTAAGTTGTAATGATACTGGTGTTTATTGTTTCGTGTGGATTTCA